TCCCACTCATTCTAGGGATGTACTCTACCACTGAGCTGTGTCTCCTGCCTGAACCAGGGGATTCTCCCATGGAGCCCTGCTCCAGCCTTCTGACCTCGGCAGTCTACTTCTAGATTCATTCTGGATGCTTTAGCACCTGCTCTAGTTCCAGTCTAGAGCATCGCTCCCATATTCCCTACCAGTGCCCAGTGCAGATGCTCAGGGAGGGAAGTTGCCGGTTCTCTGCTTCTGGTGGGCTCCTCCCTCTGCATCAGCTCAGGCCCCACTGGGGCCCATTGATTGACTTGCAAGTTCGCCTCACGCCTTAGACCAGGAGATTTTTGAACCATGTTTTATTTATCTTTATAGTCCCAGCTTCTGACACTGCCAGGGACAAAACTGTGCTTGATGACTGGCAACGCTGATGAATGCCTGCACCGATGTCACCTGCTCAGACAGCCAGTCTTCATGTGGCTGAGACTCTTGACCCCTTAGATGTCACTCTTTCTGAAAAGCCCTCGAGGCTGTGAGCAGGGTCAGATGCTGACAGTACTGGTTCAAGTTCCTCTGCCTGGGCTGGGGGAAGAGAGCTTGCTCTTGAGGAGGTGCCAGGTGTGAGGAAGGGCCTCCACTTGGCGGAGCCCCTGAGGCTCATACCCAGTGGGAATGGCTCAGTTCCCACTCACAGGAAATCTTGGAACAGTTTTAAAAATAATAAAACCGTATATTAAGTACTTCCTGTGTGTCAATGATGCAGTTGATACTCATTTAGTCATAGCAGCCGTCCTGTTCCCTGAACCAAGGTGGATGTTTCTATGCATCAAAGATAAATTTTCCTTGTATTAACCTACATTGGGTTTATTTGTTGGAGCAGCTGAAGATATTTACCATAAAGAACATGCATTATCTTACCTGGTTCTCAGAGTTTCTTGGGCTTTTTGATTCTTTTGTGGTGCTTGGGCTTGAACCCAGGGTCTTATGCATCCTATGCAAGCACTTACCACTGAGCAACACAGCTAGCCCTGTTCCCACACTCAGGGAATGAGTCAGGATGGGTTCTCAGGCAGAGTTCAGGGTCTTAATGAGCTCTTAAGCTGCACTGTCTTTCCAGAATTCTCTACCAGTTTGTCCTGGTCATTATAGGACCAGCCTGAGGTAAGGCAGCCGACGATCTTTCATAGAAAGCTGTTTCCTTTTTTCTATATTTTCTGCTTGCATTTCAGCAGACTGGATGAAGCCTAGAAGCTCTGGCCGCATGAGCTCACCTTGTCTCCTGGCCTGGGATCAATTCCTCCCGACCTCAGTGAGCTGCTGCGTGGAGGCAGATCTCCTTGAAGGTTCTGCCACACCAGGACACGAGCTGTCCTGCTGAGCTGTTCTGTGGGCCCCTCCTCAGTGGTCCTGACCCCAGGCAGTCCCACCAGGGAGCCCCCTGCTCCTGTCCTCTTCAGGGAGCCTGCCCACCTGGGCATACTGTGGAGGCAGGCTGTGTGGCCCTGCTTCTCACAGGGAGGTCCTCTCAGCCACTTTGATTTCTAATGAGCTTGCTCTTCTGGGAACACCAGCAGGGTCATGGTTGCAAGCCAGCTGGCCCTGCCTCTCCTTCCCCTTCCACCTGTGGAGGTGAACTCTGCCTGGATGATGACAGGAAGGGAGAGGGATGCAGGCCTTGGGAAGGTCTCAGAAGACAGACCAGGCACCAGACTTCCTGGAGAAGCAGTCAGACTTAGAGGGCTTCCATCTGATTCCACCACTTACCAGCTGAGTGACAACTAGCCTCAGCGATCTCACCTGCCCAGCGTGTGATACTGGAAGCTCGTCCTTGCCATCCACCTGCCCCACTCTCCTCCATCTCTCTTCTGAGGTCGAAGTTAGCTTTATCTTCAGTGGAAAGGCACCTCTGCCTCCTCCTTCATCTCACCCACGTGACTACATCAGCTGCTTCTCTGTGATCTCTACTTTGCATCCAGAGCACTTGTGTATGACATGAAAACTAATGCATTCCTGCTGCTTTAATGATAAAACCAACCTAGTCTGTCACGTATGTTTTCTGAGGCCCACCGGCCTCTGCATTGTTTCTCCTTGGCCTGACCCTATTCCCCCACCATAGTCCCTTTGCATATCCTGCCTGGGCTCTGGAATATATTCTCTTTGCTTCACCTGGCTAACTCCCACTGAATTGTCAGACCTCAGCGACTTCTGTGACATCCTCAGTTGAGGTCACATCCCCTGTGACATGTTTCCATTGCTTTCTAAATCTGTCCTTGGCACTGAACGGCCCTGTCTTTCCACTTCTCAGTGTCATTCTTTGCCTGCTGTTGACCCATTCTTCTGCTCAGAAGGTTCATGAGGTCAAGGCCCCTGTTTGTGTCTACTCACCTTCCAAATCCCAAGAACATAAGTCCAGCACCTGGCATGTGGCAAGCTCTGAATAAAATGCAGTTGAATGAATGCAAGGTCAGCTTCCAAGGAAAACATGGCAGCAGAGCCCACAGCACCATGACTGACACCAAGTAAGATCAAGTTTTCATGAAGTACAGAGGATCCTATCCCAACTGTAAGAGAGGTGCAGAACAAAAATTCATCCACCCCCAAGTGCTCTTCTTACTTGGGTTGCTGCAAGTATGCAAGTTTTGGGATAAACTTAAGTAGGCTGGAAGAAAACACACACACACACACACACACACACAGTCTCCAGAGGTGGTGAGCAGAGTCCCATTAGTGTCTCAATTTCCTGGTAGCATCTTCCAGAACTAGAAAGCAGTAGCATAGTGGGGCCTGAGTATCTGGGGAGGGCTGGGCCTGATGGTCCTTCCTGCACACCAGCACCAACCCCCAACTTTTGTCCCCACCAAAGGGGGTCAAAGAGGCAGGCAGAGAGGACTCCAGAATGATCAGAGCTGCTTGGAGAGCATCAAGACACTCTAAGAAAAGTCCCTCCAAGCTGGGCACAGTGGTATACCTCTGTAATCCCAGTGATTCTGGAGGCTGAGGCAGGAAGATCACAAGTTCAAAGCCAGTCTCAGCAATTTACTGAGGCTCTAGCAACTGAGCAAGACTGTCTCAAAATGAAAAAAATAGGGCTGGGGACGTAGCCCAGTGGTTAAGTGCCCCTGGGTTCAATCCCTGGTGCCATTAAAAAAAAAAAAAAAAAAAAAAAAGGTCTTCCAAATGTTCAAAGCAGCACAGGCTGAGCATCCCGAATCTGAAAATTCAAAATTCAAACTGCTCCAGAATCATATTTTTTTAGCATTGACATGAAGCCAAGCCACAAGTGGAAAATTCTATACAATGAAACTATTTTATGCCTAAAATTACAAAAACTTACTGTAATAACAATAACCAGGCGTGGTGGTGCTCACCTGCAATCCTGGCAGCTTAGAAGCCCGAGACAGGAGGATTGCAAGTTCAAAGCCAGCCTCAGCAAAAGTGAGGCGCTAAGCAACGCAGTGAGACCCTGTTTCTAAATAAAATACAAAATAGGACTGGGGATGTGGCTCAGGAGTCAAGTGCCCCTGAGTTCAATCCCAAGTACTCAAACAAACAAAACTATTGTATAAAATTCACCTTTAGGTGCTGTGGATGAGATCTATCTAAGATTTCAAGCTTAGCATTGGATCTCCTCCTGCTAGGTACATGCTCCCTGGGGAGACTGAGGCAGGGGGATCGCAAGTTCAGGGCCAGCTGTGGCAATTTAGCAAGACTATGTCTCAAAACAAAAAAATATAAAGGGTCAGCAGTGTAGCTCAGTGGTAGAGTGTCCAGGCAGTGCCCTGGGTTCAATCCTTAGCACTGGGGAAAAAAAAAAAAAAGATATGAGTCACATCCCCAAGACACTTCATTATGTATAAGCAAATATTCCAAAATCTGAAAAAAACCCTGAAGTCCCAAACACTTTGGTTCCAAGCATCTCGGGACGCTTGGTGTCTCAGCAAGATCAGAGCTGTTTGGGGACCTCAAGCGCCCTCCCTTTTGACCATTTCAAAGCACTTCCACAGAAGACCAGTGTCCACAGGAGTTTTAGAGACTTTATTTATGTATAAACCATTTAAACACTTTGCCATAAATTATCTTTGCCTGTCCCTAGTCTTTGCTTAGCAGCAAATTAAAATTAATATAAAAACTCGATGAACAATTCATACATGTATATTACAAAAAAGTTCCTGTACCAAAGTTCTTATTAGACTTTTTTGTGTTTTTTTTTTTTTTGTATTTTTTCTTAAGTTTTTAACATTTTTTTTGTTTTTATTTTTATTTATTTTTTTTTAAATTTTTCTCTCCTCATGGTGACTGTCATGTGATTGTCTCAGTTTCTGGACCAAACAAACACACTAATAATTTTAAATCTGAAACAGTGATTGCGCCTTGCGGCGTATGTATGTACAGGGTGATCGAGTGGTACCTGTTAGCAAGAGTCACAATGCCGCACCTCTACCGTAACTTGATACCCACGAACTACGGAATCTAAACAGACTACACCCTGTAACTGCGTATTACTGTCCACAATGGAATCTCCAAAGACAAAAGAGTATGAGATTTATCTGTAGTGAGTATAGCCACCGTTTTGAATTAAATTTTACACTTCTGCGCTCAAATAAATTAGCTCAGGCCGGACTAAGTGGAGACCCGAGAGGTAAGTGCCCGACGGCATTATTTCGCTTTGACTTTTGATAGGAATTTTTTTTTTTCTTGTGTTTTTCTTTTTCTTTAAAAAGTATTCCAGTGCTCACTCCTCCACTTCGCTGCCCCCCCTCCCCAGGCGCTACACACAAATCACCCCCAAAGTCGTGTTTTAAATGCACCTGTATTTGCTTAAAGGAAAACGTCGGAAGCGTCTGTCCAACGAGCAGTCTGAATCGTCCCCAGCTGGTCTGACGACGGACGCCCTGTCAGTGTCTCCGCGTCGCTCACGTGTGAATGAGTGAGGTAATAAGATATGAGGCCTTCCGTCTTCATTGCTTTGTTTTCTGGTTGGTGTGTTTGTTTTGCTGTCTGTTGGTTGCTGTTTGCCTATTTTTTTTTTTTTTTTTTCTGTTCTTTTGTTCCTTTTGGATATTTAGTGTCTCTTTTCTGCGGTAGACCCAGAACAAGTGGGCCATATTTTAGGGGAACTCGGAACATTTTTGTGTGTCTGTTCATTCATTCGTTCATCCGTTTGTTTTGATTTCCTCAGAATTTGCGCTGGGCTTTAGTGTGCTTCAGGATGAGGGACTTCTTGCTTGGACGGTAGTAGCATTTGAACTCAAAAAATGTGAGCTTTCTTGCCACTTGGTCTCCTAAAGCAGCCCAGCCTCCGTGCCCCTGTTAGGTCTTCATCTCCTTAGGAGAGGAGAGCACAGTTACTCCTGCTCAGCCATCCAGACGAGGAATGGCAGCGGGTGACTTTGTTACCTCTTTCCCATCTCGTTCTGTCTTAGGAACTGGATGTTGCTGCTGCTGTCCGCCAGCTCGGGGTACTGCTCCACGGGAAGGACGTAATAGCCCTCGTAGCCCTGCACGCGCCCCGAGCTCAGCAGCTGCTGCTTCTCGCCCTCAGTCCACAGGCGGCTGCCCTCTCGGCCGTCCCTGGCTTTCTGCTGCTCCTTGGCCCAGGCGGTGCCCAGGGCCCTCTGTCTCGCCTGGTCCAGGACGCGGGCCTTCTCTTCGTCCAGGGTATCGGGGGTGAGGCCGTAGCGGATGCTGAGCAACAGCGTGGAGTACTGGAATTCGATGTTGGTGAACCTTCGAGTCCTGCCATTGACCAGCAGCGTGGGCTGCGACACGGTCACGTTCACCCCGCTCTCCAGTACCTTGCGGCCGATGGTAGTGCCCAGCGTGACCAGGTCACTGTCGGCCGAGCCGATCTTCACAAAGTAGTGGGTGTCCTTGCCCTCGATGCTGTAGTGCATCTTGTCCAGGTAGTAGGCGTTGTTCAGCACAGATGCCACCTTGCGGCTGTCCTCGCTGGCGATGCTGGACACACCGGTGGTCACCCGCCCTTCCTTGATGGCAAACATGATACCTTTGCCAATGATGGGCGTGGTGGTGGCAAACCAGTGGCCTGCTTTCTCTCGGATGCTGGCGTGGAGCTTTTTAGAAATGACCTGCCCCTCCAGAGCCATGAAGGCCTGATTATGTCTCTCTGCCGTCTGCTGGACGCCTGTAATGAGCTGTGGGCACAAGAACAAAGAGAAAGCTGAGAAGGTGCAGGCAGCTCGTTAGGAACAGCCAGAGAAAAATGCCTGGGACGCCCCAGAGGCCCTGTGTGCCTGTAATACCAGCTAACCTAGTCGGCCTGTTGGAACTCGGACGGGCTGCCAGATCTCTGAAGGGGTGGCCTGTCCATTGGGTAACTGTGCCACTAAGAGATGGTGTCGGAGGTTTTTCATCTCCCCCGAGTCTGTACCTAGGCCCATGCACTTACCGTGGCTCACCACTGTTGGATCAGATTCCCCTGCACTGGGGGGTGGCCACTGCCTTGTGCACTTTAAACCCAGGAATGTCCTGACCTCAGGGCAGTGGTCTACTGGAACGGCTGTGAACCCCACCCATCTAACCTGGCTATTTCTGAGACCAATGGTCTGGAGAATCATTATCTTCTTTGGATCAAGACCTTGCTACTCAGAGGGACCAGCCAGGGAGGGACCACAGAGAATCACCCTCTTAACAAAGTGGAACCTCAGGCCTCACCCAAGACCTACTGAGCCAGGGGCTTACGTTACCTGGACACTCTGGGTGATTTGTATGCATGTCAAGGTTTGAGAAGCACGTGGCTAAGAGATGCGGGCTTTGGGGGCCAGCAGGGAGACCCCTTGGCTGTGCGTGAGTTGTTTTGGATCTTAGCCCTGGTTCTGCGGAGGAAGGAAATCACCCCTGCCTCCTTGGCCTCGAGTTCTCCACTCGAATGGCAACTTGTCGAAATTGGTGGTTGGGGGACAGGCAGGGATAATGGAAGAGGCTGAGCTGGGGAGGTAACGGCACTTAGATAAATGAGAGAAATGATGGCTTTTCATCCACTGAGTGGTCCCCGAGGGGCAGGACTAAGAGAATGCTGTTCCCAATTACCCAGCAGCTCCTCCTCGACTCTCTATAGTTATACAATCTGGACAATTATTCTGAGCAGCTGAGACCTTTCAGACTTCCATCGTGCTGAGCACCAGTTCTGTGGCAGGGGTTTTCCGAGCACCCATGCCCTCTCCTCCCATTTGATTGTGGTAGAGGTCTCAGCTGCACCCAAATTGAAACTGACCACCTTTCGGTCATCACAGAAAGACCCAAGCACGAATTATGTTCTGAAAATTCAATCTGTGTACATTTGGGCCATAAAGCGCCAAGGTTTTATGTGGGGCATAAAAATGTTCTTTAATGGGACAGAAACTGCAAACCACAGTTTTATTACTTCCCATAAAAGCTGAAAGGGTTATGATCTTCTAGGCCGTGCAGATGGTGGGTTGCTGCTAGATTTCTCTGTGCTGTTGTTAATCAAGGAGTGACTCAAGGGTATATACTGAACAGATAATGATACCACAATTAAGGTAATAATTGAGGTTGGGAAGAAATGTGTGCTGCACCAGGTAGATGACAGCACTGACATTCACTTTGTGGGAAGCCCCATGTCTCCTGCACCTTTTATACCCAGCTCCAATGTTTTCCTCTCCTGACCCGCCCTTTGCTGCCCTGTGGTTCTGTTTGCAAAGGGAATGACGGCAATCATTTGGATTCCTGGAAGGAATCTGCACTTACCTGGCCACTCTCACTCGCTTGACTCTCTGACAATTCGTAGGGAGGAGGCACGAAATACATTTTGGCTCTTGGGAAGCCGGGAATTATGTTGCTGAGCTGAAATCCAAACATCACAAGCCAGCTTTTCACATCTATGGTGGAAACAAAAATAAAGATTTCTGAAATCATGATGAATGGAAAGCTGCAAGTGGATGAGAGAGAGAGAGAGAGAGAGAGAGAGAGAGAGAGAGAGAGAGAGAGAGAATGAATAAAACAGGTGTTTAGGTATGGGGTCCAACAGAGGAGGGAGGCAAGAGCCGGTGAGGTGTCCTGGGTCTGCACAGTTCCAGGAAATAGATGTCCCTCCTGGCTTGGTCAACTGACACACCAACACCATGCCGTGATTAGAAGGCCAGTACTGCAGGGATATAGACTTAGCTTCGATTCCCTTGATGTGTGACCCTGGGCAACTTCCAGCCCCCTCCCAGCCTCAGATGTGAGTTGACATTATAATTGCACCAACCTCATTGAGTTGTTGTGAGGATCAAAGGAGAAAATCCATGCAAAGGACTCATCACGGTGCCCGGCACATGCACCACCCAATGAATGTGCCCTCCTTAATGAAGCATATATTTAAAGGGGCATCTATTACAGGCCAGACAACATGTCAGAAGCCTATATACAATGGCCAGCCAGAGGGATCAGTGATGCTTCTGACCACTGTGTGGGACCCTTGGACCAGGACTGCTGTGTCAAGGCTGGCGCACCATGGAAAGGGGGGTTCCAAGGGTTGGACATGGATGGGATGCAATTTTCTGGCCCGAGACCCATTTTTCTAGGCCTCCTACTCTTCAAGGAGGGGTCAAGAGAGAGCTCTGCATACTCATGTAAGACACCCAACCAGCGGTCAAGATGAAGTCCTTTGCATTGGTAATTACACCACCTGCCCACATGCATTCTGTGCTGAATGTCCAGGTTCTCAGAGGAGGGCCACCTCCCCGCCCCAGGTCTCCAGGCTTCCTTCTGCAGTGATCAGTATGGAGTCCTGAACATCAGTCCCTAGAAACACTTCCATCTTCACTGAAACTATTGGCCTGGGGTCCAGAAGGACCAGCCTGGTTAAGTCCTTTTATGATGGCATCCCGAGATCATGCATCATACTCCGTGCCAATACCCTTTCCTGCCCCATCTCTACCTCTCTCAGCTCCTGAAATACTTCCACCAGGCCCTCTGGAATCCATCTGGGTCACCAGGGAAGCCCCACACATCTTCTCTAAAGGTTTCTTTCCATTCTTGCTACAACTGAACCTCTCTCCCTGAGAGCACTGGTCCCCCAGCTTATTCTGTGGGTGCTGGATCTGAAGGTACCATAGTCATCGAAGGCCTCTTGGCTGAATTTCTCAAAGCTGTTAGCTTCTGCCTCACTATCATTCTCTCCACCTCTGATCCATCCTGAATTAATTCTAGTGATTTCTTAGGCAAGTAGGCGGTCCTTCCAACATCTTGGTCTCTTAGTCCCTTGACCTCCTCTCATGCTCTGGACATTCTCATTGCCAATATCTGACTCCTCTCACATCACTTTCGTGAATGTCACCCCTGAGCAGGGCCTCAACTCTTTCTATCCCACTCTTCCTTATAACCTGACACCCTCCATCTTTTGATCGCCCCTGTCTCCCAAGTACTTCCCCCCATCCTCCTGTCCCCTATCCCTCAACATCCTGGCCTTCTAGCCTGCTACACATTTGCTGACCAGTCTCTGGACTCATTCCCTGGGTAGGTTCCCAGATCCCTTGTTCCCTTTCTCACTTCATTGGGTGTGATCACAATATTGGTCAAATCCAGGTCTTTGCCTCGTCCAGGTCTGCACGTGTGCACCTGAAGAAGGCTGGGGAAGGAATCATCACCATGCTGAATGGAGCCACTTGGAATTCCTGAACGCGGACCTCCACCTTGCCTTTCTGCTGCCTGGCAACCCAACTGCGATCCTTTACTCAGCCCTGTGCCTCCCCTCCTGGAAGATTTCATGCCTTCTCACCTCTCCTAAAGCCTCTACCTGCTTTCCCTTCCTGCCCCCAGCAGCTGACCTGGTTTTCTCTTCTCCCTCAACTCCTACCACCATGCAGCTGCCTGCACCTGGTCCCTCGTGCTAGCACTCTAAAGGGGCAGCTGGTAGGCACCCCTCCACTGGGCACTGGGTGCTGACTCAAGGCCATCATCCCAGCACCCCACCTCTTGCCTCACACGGTCTATTTACTTCCCTTCCAGGGGGTGAGCCCCATCAGCACGCAGAGCTGCTGCTCCATGTCCCTTGGTCATTTCCCCTTCTTGCCCTTTTCTCCTTTTGCTATCACCTATTTCTTATTTTCCTTTCCCCAAAGCCTCTCAAGCTGATTCTCCCCTCTCACTGTTTCCCATTCTCCTCTGAACCAGGCTGTGTCTCCACACTGTACTGTCAAGGTCATGACTGCCCTCCAGGTTGCTAAGATTCCCTCATGGTTCTCGTCGAATTTGGCGAGTGGAAAACTTTTTTAATTTTTGGTTTTCTGGAAAAACTTTCTTTTGTTTTTCCTTCTCCTACAAGTGAGTAGCTGACACCTGTCCCTTCTGGTTCCCACCCCTCTCCTCATGTTGGCATGCCACAGAATCACTCTGAAAGTCTTCTCCCTCATCTATACTCACAAACATATTCTCTTATCCAGCCTCCAGGTCAAAGGGCTATCTACATGCTGGTACGATTTATCTACATGCTACTCCATGATTTATGTTCCAGCCAGGACGGCTCCATGAACTCTGAACCTGTGCATATAATTACATTTCCAGTCTGACCTGTCCAGAACTGTCTCCCAATCTTCCTGCCCCAACCAGCACCACCATGGTCCTTTCCATCCCGGGTGGTGATAGCTCTTCTCTCCAGCTGCCACTCTCCACCCTGCCCCCAGTATATTTTTTAATTAGTTCATTATCCAGCTGCCATTCTTTTTTTTCATATTTTAAAAATTGGTTCATTATAGTCCAACTACCATTCTTGACTCCTTTCTTTCTCTCACTCTCCACATCTCATTCACCAGTAAATCCTTTCCTTTAAAAAAAAAAAGAAATTAGCTGGGCATGTGGCGCACACCTATAATCCCAGCAGCTCAGGAGGCTGAGGTAGGAGGATTGCAAGTTCAAAGCCAGCTTTAGTAATTTAGCAAGGCCCTAAGCAAATTAGTGAGACCCTGTCTCAAAATAAAAAATAAAAAGGCCTGGGAGTGTGGCTTAGTCAGTGGTTAAGTATCCCTGGGTTCAATCTCTGGTACCAAAAAAAAAAAAAAAACAAAAACAAAAAAACAAACAAACAAAAAAACTGGGGTAAAATTTCAATATTTATAGTCACTTGTCAAGATGATGAATATTATTTTTGCCACATTCAGGTGTCAACTGTAGTATGATCTACTTACTGATTATTTAAAGAGATAAATTTGCCTGTTCAACTTAGGGAAATCCATTTTAAAAAAGAAACTTTATATTACTCTCATAAATGGGAAAACAGACTCACTTATTGCAACCAGAACATAACTATAAAATTGAAACAAAGGAAAAGTCAATGAGATTCAGTACCATTTTGTTAGCTGCTACTAAGGGAGCCTGAGACACACTCGCTCCTAAACAGGGAGATCACAAGTGTCAATGAGGAGCTTGGTACGTACCAGTGCCAAGCGGAGGCTGCTTGGTCCTCAACTAAAATGGATTCAGACAGCATGGAGAAGGGACCAACTGTCCCCACTGTTTCAGTGTTATTTAGTATTGCCTCTGTATCCCACATATACTCCCCCCTCATCTTCACTGAGGACTTCCACTGTGGGGACTTCCAAGGGTAGCAAGAGCAGGCCATCCTCAGGCCTTCCATGGTCATCATTTCTCCCAGGGAGCCCTCTCCCTAGCTCAGGTTCCTAAGGACAGAGACAGTGTTATGGTTTGGATGTTAGGTGTCCCCAAAAGCTCATGTATGAGACAACGCAAGAAGGTTCAGAGGAGAAATGATTGGGGTTGTGACAGTCTTAATCCAATCAGTGGATTAATCCACTGAGTGGTAACTGAAGTGGTGGGGTATGGCTGGAGGAGGTGGGAATTGGGTTGTGGCTTTGGTGCGTATATTTGTATCTGAAGAGTGGAGTCTCTCTCCCGGCTTCCTAGTCACCATGATGTGAGCGGCTTCCCTCTGCCACACTCTCCTGCCATGATGTTCAGCCTGAGGAACGGAGCCAGCCTTCTATGGACTAAGACCTCTGAAGCCGTGAGCCCTCAAAAAACTTTTCCTCCTCTATAGTTGTTCTGTTCAGGCCCTTTAGTCACAGCAGGAAAAAACTAAAAGAGATGGTAAGAGCTCTCTGCCTTTGTCACCAGGAATTTTTGTGACCATTTCCTTGGGGAGTAATAGCTATGCTTCTTCCTTTTCCTTTCTTATTCTATTGCTTCTGCGTCTAAACCCACTTGGAAACCTCTGCCCAAGCTGCTTATCCTTTCTTAGAAGGCCCTTCAGGAACCACACAAGCACTCCGGCTCCTCCTGGAGCCGCTGGTGGTGGTGATAACCTTCCAAGGAGCCTGTGGAGAGGCCGCGGGGAGCTGGTGTCCTGGCCTCCTGGTGGCTGCCCACCTCCTCTCCCATTCCTCATAGCCTGTGACTATGTCACCATGGAGCTCTGGCTCCAAACACGTCAGCGCAGCTTCCTCAGGTGTTCAGGGATGCGAGAGAAGAGAAGAATGAGCGGGGCTGTGCTTCTCACAGGAACCCAACTCAGCTCCCGTGCACCGGCTGGCCTTTGCAAGTCCAGGGACCCACCATGAAGGCAGGGTGAGGAAGCTGGAGGCTCATCATGAGCACCTTCTAGGTGCTCAAATCCTGTCTGGAGTTCATGGTTTGCTAAAGCCAAGCCAGTCACAGGGGGGGTCTGAATCCGCTTTGGGGAGCAGATGGATGCTACCCCCAGCTCCCCAGAGCGTTATGTGCAGGCAGGGTCTTCACGCCTATCGGCACCATTTCCAAGTCCAGAGCTGCTTATGAATTGTGACCATTTTTCAGGATTCATCTGGGCTGGGCTGAGTCTGTTCTTGTTCACTGCTGCAGGAGGTGAGTGCTTTATCACCATTTTTTCAGATGAAGGAACAAAGGCTCAGAAAGGTCAAGACATTTGTTCAAGTCAAATAGCAAGTGACTGGTGAGGCCAGATTTGGTGACTGGAGATTTGCTGACATCAGGGAAAGTGGCCTGAGGACTGGGCAAAACTTTCGGCTGGACCTAGGTCCCATTGTGCCCAAGGTTGAGGAGTTTCCACAGTTGCTAAAATTGGAAAAATCCAGGACACTGCAGGGAGCCTCTCAATCTTCCTTTTATACCCTTTCCTCTAATCTCTCTTCATTCCAGATGTACCTATTGTCATGTCAAAGATAACTATGAAACATAACTGTTAAGTTGAGGGAAAGGAATCCTTTCCTGCCCTCCTCTACTGGTTCATGATGGCCATCCTCATGTTCCAGAGCAGGGGTAGGGGGCCACAGGGGTCTTACTATGTTGATGAGGCTGGTCTTGAACTCACAATCCTCCTGCCTCAGCCTCCCCTGTGTCTGGCCAGGCTCTGCACTCTGTTGTTGCCCTTTGCACCAGCATTCTTGGGTGAATGCAGAACCTCCTCATGCCTCGGGGGCTGCCACTTGCATTCAGAGAGATCTGTTTCCAAATAGCATCGATTCTTCTGGGTACTGGAGAGAGCATGTCCTGTTCGTTGCTTTCCTTCTGACTACATCTTAATTACTTCTTCCGCTTAGACTGTGAGCAGCAAGTTCAGCCACTCTGCTAGTTTCCTAAGTGGCAAATTAAGACTAATTTAGCCAGGGTTTACAGATGAGCCAACATTTCAACAGCAGAGAATGATTTGGTGTTCTTTGCTCTGATCCACTCTCCAAGGGTCATTTTTTCACCAACAGGTGGTAGCAGGTGTGTCCACACTGGTCTGCCCCCCTTCTCCACCAGGTTCCTTTTCTCAGTTGCACTGCAGAGAGTAACCCCTCTGCACATGGTTTCTCTGACACCATCCTTTATTTTAGACTCTTTCTAATGGTTTCTGGATTCAATTTGGTTGGACTTAGTTCAAATTGATTTGATTCCCACTTATTGAGTCTCCACGAAGCCCTGGAATGAGGCAAGCCATCTTGCCATTTAGAAAAGTCGGCTAATTTCCCTTTTCTTTTTCTAGGGAGGCAGGAAAGTGGCTGAGGTGGTCAGTGAAGCTGTGTCCTGTGAACAGTTTTGTCCGGGCCTTGGCAGCATGGCGTCTCCTCAGCCCTCTCTGGGTTTTTTCATTTGCCTCTGATTGGTTGGTTCCTCAGGTGCCCAGCACCAACCATGGCTCTGGGAGCACATGCTGTGGGGAAGGAATCTCTCCTCTGGCTAAAGCAGGCCGGGTCTGTCTCCCCATCCATCTATTTCCCTCTCTGGAACACTCTTCCTCTCCCTGCTCCAATTCATAAAGGTCTCTGCACAAATGCCACCTGCTCAGAGAGGCCTTTTGTAAGCACCCTAAGTAAATGAGGTACTTTGCATCTCTCCTGTGCAACCCCTTACTTTATTTTATTCATCTCCACTTATTACTTGATACTTGGTGTGCTTCCTGAGAGGCACTTTGAAATTACAGTGAGTTGGGGGACAAAGTCCTGGGGAAGAAAGAAGCCCTGGCGGAACATCATGGCAGGCTCTCCTGACAAGGTGCTGGGAGAGGAGGGCCAGTGGAGCCAACTTGGCCAGAGCTGCTGGGTCTAAAAGTTCCAGTGGCTTCCGTTGTATGGAGATGTAGAGTTCAACTGGGAGAGGCCTGAACCTGTCAGCAAAGCATCATGTGGCATGAGTTGACCCTTGAGTTGCTGACTTCCTTCATAGCAGGGGACACCAAGGGCAGCCCTGGGCTCCAGGTAGCCACAACTCCCTTTCCAGTGACCCTGGTTACCTGATGTTGATGCGTGGCCCATGTTCAGTAGCTGGGAGTTTCCTGGAATGTGGGGGCCCTGTCTTGGCATCGGCAGGTTAGATGGTCCTCGCCTGCTTGCTGAAGGTTGGCCCTTGGAGGTCTGGACTCTTGGGATCTATCATGTATCTTGATTTCTTTGCTTATTTCCCTGAGCACAGGAGCTTTGTGTGCCTTCCACCTCAGCTCTATACTTAGAACATGTAAGATACTCCATAAGCTGGGCTGAATGGATGGATGGATGCATGCATGCACAGGGAACCTCATCTCTCACTTAACCTGGGTCATCTGCCCTTCTATCCTGACTTTTGCTCAAAGTCTTCCTTCTCCACTGAACCAACCTGGGTCCCATTCCTTCTTTGGGCTCAGTATGAATGGACCTTAGTATGTTGTGTTGAATCTTCCAAATTGGAATTGATTTACACATACACACACACACTTTCTCTCTTTCACACAGTCTTTTGAGAGAAACGTGCTCATCTTGTTCACATGATATTTCCAGAATTTCAGGTGGCCCTACTCTACAAATGCTTTTTTGAATAAAAAAAACCAAGCAGACACCTAGACAGTGGCCAAGCCTAACTCTGCCTTCATTATTGCTGATTATTTGTGTGTGTATCTCACCAGGTCAGCCTCTGGAGGTCAGGGGTGGGGTCCCAGGCATCTCAGTGCCTGTGCTAACTCACTGCTTTGCTTTGCTAGTGACAACAATGTTACTGATGTAAGAGATGGCAATTCAGGAACACCCCCTGAGTGCCAGCACTAAATCACCTACCTAATTTCATCTACTTCTCGGGATCACCCTATGGGATGGTTTTTATCAGTGTTCTAGATAACACTGTAACTAGAGACAGGAACTAGTTCAGAGAGGATAGGCAACTAGCCCAGGTCTCTGGGCTCATAAATGCAAGACAGAAAATTGCCAGCTGCACCGCCCAGGCTTGATAGCTTTGGGGGTTCCTACACCACCAAACCTAAGACTTCTCTCCAAGTTCCCAACAGTTCACTGGGGCAACCACCCCACAGGGAGCTGCTGCCTTTGGAGAAGGCAGATCCTTACCTGTCACGTAGTTCTTCAAATCCAGCTCGTTGCTGAGAGGGTTGTTGCTCTTGAACATGTAGAGGTTGAAGGGCGCCGGCTCCTTGCCCACGTCTTTCCACATGGTGTAGTCTGGGGAGGTCCAGCGCCCTGCCAGCACATCATAATCCCGCTGGGTGAAGTGGACCAGCTTGGTCAGGGGGTCGTAGAGGCCCCCGTGGAAGCCAATGACCATCTGGAAGTCTGGGTTGGAGTCATGGTAAATCTCCCCATAGGCCGTGTACTGCAGCTGCTTGATCATGAGGCCATTGATGCTGAACACGGCCAGGGGAGTCCCCGTGTTGTCCGAGGCCACATAGTACTCCTCCCCACTGCTGCTCTCCATGGCAAAGAGGTGACCCTGCAGGTCGTAGTACAGCGAGGTGATCTCCGAGTTGGAGTGGTTGTAAACGTGGGTGATGCGTGTGGGGTTGTGCAGGTCCGAGTAGAAGTACTGCAGGTGGTGGCCCAGGTTGGTCTTGTAGGATGCGCGCCGCCCCACACCGTCGTAGCGGTACTGCACGCTCCAGCCGCTGGCCTTGTTGTAGGCTCGCGTCAGGAGGCCCTTGGAGTTGTACTCGAAGATGTCCGACCCCCGCTGGCACAGGTAGCCGTCGTCGTCGATTTTGTACTGCACGTCCCCCAGCCTGGTTATCCGGTCGCGCAGGTCGTAGCGCAGGGGCATGAGGCGCACGCTGTTGCCCGGGTTCAGCAGGTGGAGGTTCCCGTTGAGGTCGTAGCTGTAGCGCCAGGTGGGCCGGTCATTGACCGCCACGCTCTGCAGCTGCCCGTCCCCGTCATAGTCATAGGTGTACTTGGTAGTGTTGGCGTAGGGCCCCAGTTTCAGCTCCCGCTTGATGACCCGGCCCATGCTGTCGTACTGCACGGTCATCCAGTACATGAGCGAGCGGAACATCTCGTACTGCACTTCCTTGATGCGCCCGTGGGTGTCGAAGTGCTTGCTCAGGGTCATCACGGCCGTGGTGATGATCTGGTTGATGTCGTAATAGATGACTCCGAACTTGCCGAAGTGCTCCACCTTGCCAGAAATCTCATCGTAGCGGTACAGGTCCACGGGGAGGGGAGTCTCACTGATGACCGGCTTGATGCTCGCGATCCGGAAGCTGTTGTCGTGGTAGGTGTAGTCAAACCTGGCGTTGATCATGCCTTCCTCCGAGAACCTGTAGATCTGCTTGTCCACCAGGGGGCCAATCTTCCGGTACCTGATGGTGCAAGAGAAGCCCCCGCTTTGGAGGTTGACCATCTTCAGGACACCGGTGGTCTCGTCGTACCCGAAGGTGACAGCAGTACTGTCGTAGACAATCTCCGATAACTTGGACAGTTTCCCATACCTGTAGAACACCTGGCGCCCCGTGCCCAGAAAGGATGTCTTTAGGATGCGGCCATCATCGCTGTAGTCAAAGATGACCGAAGCGTTGCTTTCTGGGGGGTTGTAAATGTTGCGGATGTAGCCAATGGAGGTATGGGTGGACATGCTGTGCCGGGCAACGCTGGGCATGGTGACAGCGTGGAGACGGTCAGAGGAGTCATACTCAAATATGTACTGGCGCTGGCTCTGGAGCAGGAGGACCATGGACTGGAGGAAGGAAAGGGAAAGGGAACATGTGAGTTGGCTCTTCAGGACCAAGCACGTGAATGACAGAATCGATTCCATTTCTCCAAATGTCAATTAAAAGCCACAAAAGATGGGAAGTTTAGAGTTTGCATAGATTCATTCCAGGGGGTGTACCAGTTCTGATGGATCAAGGTGGCTGTTTGGTTACAAACTTGCATTTGTAGCAAGTTCTTGGAGGATGCTGATACTGCTCAGGCATCCCGAGTATCAAGGGCTCGGAGGACTGAGGTGGGAGGCACAGAGTTTGTCCCCGGGTTCAATCACAAAGACCTTGAGATTATTCAGAACTGACTGCCACTGGCCCAGCTGGACACATGTGCTCAAATTTTGTCACTCCTGATTACATCTAGGGGAAAGTACATCCTCCGACTAGAAGCCACTGTAGAGATAAAATAACCTTAGATAGAGCAATCAGGAGATTACTGGTCAACTGTCCAGTACTTTATAGTGTAAGAGAACAGTGTTAGCTATGGACCAAGGGGACTTCAGCCCCTTTCTTGCAGAGATGTAACAGATCTGTCTGAAAGTGACTGATGTAATGAGTTAGTGAAAAAGAGAGGGATGGACCAGTGCTGAGGGGAGTCTACATGAGTGGCCCAGAATGAGCAAGCCCCTGTCTTAAGACTAGATGTCTCAGGCAGCCTTCAAAAGAGTTGGCATATGACCCAACTTTTTTCTTCTTCTTCTTTTTTTTCCTTCAGTACTATGGATTGAACAGCCTGTGCATGCTGGGCAAATGTGTCACTCCCCAACCCTTTTTATTTTATTTTGAATCAGGGTCTCTCTCAATTTCTGAGGGTGGTCTTGAACTTGTAATCCTCCTGCCTCAGCCTCTTGAGTAGTGGGGATTATACCACCATGACTGACTTTCAAAGGGAATTTCCTATTACTGCTGCTCCACCTTGACCTTTTCCGGCTAGAAGCCCTGATTTTGGCATTTCTAGACGTGGACTTATGTAGCAAGAACCCACTGACTGTTACAGTCAACAGGCCACATGGGAGGGTGTTGCTCTGTGGGTTTGAATTTTAGGCAAAATGGCCTACCCTGATGGCTTAATTCAGGTTGAGGTCTTAACAAATCACTGCATTTTCATAAGTATTTCATAAGTAATGATTAGCTGTGTGGCCAGTGGGATGATTCTGTTCACTTCAACATCATTTGCTTTTTTAGGGGGGATAAAATCTGACAATCTACTCTTCTGCTATTATGGAGTGCCTAGCACTTCTGTTCTTCTTTTAATGGTAATAGTGATAAGTTATGAATAACATTTTCCTTTAGAATTTGTCTCCCTCCCAGTGGGGGGCAGGGGGAGGACAGCATGGGGACCCCCCCCCCCGCCCGCCCCCAGGAAAGTCAAAGGAAAGAGGTCAAAATGTTTGGTGACAACAAGTGTGCGGGGCTAGCCTCGGAAGAGCAGCGGGGCCCATGGTCAGCCCCGGGGGCGGGTCTGTGCGCCCACCCACCTTGTCCAGGTAGGAGTAGCTCCACACTTTCCCGTCGGCGAACATGCGGGACACAATCCGGCCTTGCTTGTCGATGTCCGTCCTCTCGCTCATGGCCCCGCGCTGAAGGCCAGCCAAGCGCCCGTTGAAGAAGTAGGAGACGTTGACCGCTGCCAGCCCGCTGCTGGGCAGCCAGAGGAAGGGACGGCCCACCTGGTCATAAATGATCCTCAGGGTGAACTTGCGGTGATCGTCATAGATCTTTTCTGTCCGAATGTTCCGGTCATAGTCGATGGACAAGAGATTCCTTCCATGGACCTGGGAAAACACAATGGGCCAGTTTGGAAGGGGCCATCCGGGGAAGGAGCCAGGCTTCTGCAGACCACGCTGCTGGTGGGACCAGGGCTAGGCATGCAATGGAGGAAGAAGCAGCTTGGCTTTACTCAGAGCTCCGATCTCCAGCCTCCTTTAACCTCACGCACGCCCAGGGCCGGCGATAGCTGCAAGGTGAGCAGGAATATAGCGGAGAGGCAGTTTATGAATGGAGACGGCTGAAATGGGCGTGGCTGCATGAGCACGTGGGAGGGCCGGACTCGGCCCTGGTCAAGAGGGGGCCTCAGGTGGAAAGCGTGACGGCAATCAGCACGCATCAGCCATACCTCATGCGTGGACCTGAACGTTCCACCGCCCTGCCTACCTACTTGCACACTATCACCCTCTTTTGGCGCATCCTGGGCTGGGAAGCTGGGGACCTTTAAGATTTCTTATGTGAAAGTACCTAGTCGAACGGGGAGGAGGGGTTAGAAATCCTTATTTTACAAAGAATCTGGGGGCTAGAAAGGTTCCTTCCTATGGAAACTCCTTTATTTTAAATATCTGGTGGAAAATCTTGCCACTGTCAAGGAGGCTGAAGCTCAGCAGGGGGGACCTCGGCAGGACTGGGGAATTCCAACAAAGGGAAGAATGGTTTTACTCAGATTTGAAAGGAATGGGGACACATCCAGACATCATTTAATATTTATTTAGGAGTTGATCTGATCAGAGGAGAAGGGCTGTCCCAGAAGGCAGAGTGGGGAGACTAGACTAGTGAAGGGCAAAGGAGAAGGGGCTCTGGAGACTTGGCGAGCCCTGAGTAGATGGCTAGAGGGGATCGCGATGCAGCGACTCTGCCCACTCTTACAACATAATTGACTGCAAATCCAGACATCCCTGGGGTGGCCGTGGAAAGCACAGTGAGGGAAGATGTAAACAGGCAGGAGGAAGGGACTGGAGATGTCTGCTTCCTTCTCACCTAACCCCAAAGGTTCAGCTGCACTTACTGGTAATGGTGATGGTGGTGATAATAAAGATAACAACTTTATCGTATGTTGAGGAATGGTAGAGTTAGGCATTAGTTTAGGGACTGTGCATCCATTAGTTTGCGTTGATGCCCACAAAGATAACTTGACAAATGAGGAAACAAGGTCGCACAGCAGTGAGGGGGTAGGGTTGGCCTAGGACTTAGGCCTTCAGATTTCAACTGGTTAACCACTTAGACAGTTAAGCAGCCTTTCTGCTTCCTGAACTGCACTTCCATTGAGTGCCCAGAAACGACGAAGAGATGGTAAAGCATTTCCACAACCCATGAGGGCTCCATATTGCAGCTGGTGGGGAGATTAGAAATAAATTTAATGCCACAGACATCTGTATTCTGAGGAGTGCTTTGTTCCTAGGTATGGAACTATCTTTTCAGATTCCTTTGAAGATGGGGTGTCTCGTGAGATGTAGGTGGTAGTTGCTGTTGGGTCTTTGGGGGAAGTATCATTAAAGGAAGCCGAGAAGGAGGTGACCTTTTGCTCTTCCCACATCCCTCCTGCTCCTAGGTAAAATGCAGATGTCATGGCTGGTGCCCCAGCATTCACCTTGTGAATATGAGCTGATTTTAAGCACGGAAACCTCTGGGATGGTGACTCTTACAGAGAAAAAAGTCTTGATTCCTGTTGACCTTGGTGTCTTCACACAGCCACAAATCCCTTACTTTGAGGTTTCTTTTAGGTCATAAGAAAACCATCAGCCTAAATCTCATTTAAGTCCCTGGTATTTCTAATCTCTATTATTAGCAGTTGAAACTAAATGGATGCAGGTCCTTCATGCTTTGATAGGTGCTGTGCTGGATACTTTAAATAACGTTTCTTCTAATTTATGTGGCGACTGTTATTATATAGGAGCTCAGAGGGCTGGGCAAGCAGAGACGAAGTCAGGTTTCCATGGAGTCAACCAGAGACAATGACAGGCTATGTCAGACGACATCTAGGGAAGACAATGTACCAAAGCATGGAGATTGGCATAAAGGTGGTGAGTTCTTGGAATCATAAGGAAACTCAGCTAGTGGCGCATGCTGGTCATCCCAGAGACCTGGGAGGCTGAGATAGGAGGGTCATAAGTTCAAGGCCAGCCTGGGAAATTTAACAAGGCCATGTCTCAAAAATAAAAAAAATAAAGGGTTGGGATATAGCTCTGTGGTGGAGCTCCCTGAGCTCAATCCCTGGTACCAAAGTGAAGGGCAGGAAACCCAATGATTTAAGTGGAAGATTTACATTGACAAACTTGCAGCAGTTGGAAAGAACAAGTGAAAGTCTGAGGAGAAGATTTATTTTCAACAAATCCCAAAGTGAATGCTGTCAGAATCATTGGGGGATCTTTCTCCCAAATCAGAGTCGCCATCTTCAGAGCAAAACACAACCTAGGGGAAGACCCCTTCCTCTGGAAACAGAAGGTCGGTTATATGGGTTAATCCATCGGGCCAACTGCAAAACGTCCAGGATTCTTAAGCACATGTGCTTCAGGAGTCCAGCTCAGCACCTCTCCCACACCCGTGGCCAAAGGAACGCTGTGTCAACAAGGAGGGAAGGGTTTTCTGCTCCTGGCCTCGCACTGCACCGACTATTTCCCATCCCTTGTCCATCCACCCCTCCCTCCTTTCCCGTATACTTTTCCTTTTTTGCTTCTTCTTGCACACCCTCTAGGGCCCAGTGCATTTATTATGCTTGGAACACTGCCTGCCTGCGGCCCAGCAGGGCGCCCCTCTGCGGTGTGAAGATGAGATGAGCAGCAGCAGCAGATGAGCATCCCCGAGGACTCCGCCCGCTGCTGCCAGTGCTACCCTAAAGGATCATCCCAGCATTCCACCCCAGGCAGCGCGTCGCGGCACTGCACGTGGGTGGCAGAGACAGGTTTGTGCAATGAGCACGGGAGCTGGGATCCCGGCCTAGAGTGTGCCGTCCTCACCCCCCAGCCGTAGCACCAGCAGGAGGTGGGTGTAGGATGGGGTCTCCCTGGAGCTGCAGTTCTAAAGCATCCACCAAGCTCCGAGAGCACAGCTGCCCACCCACACCACGGGTTCTGAATCGACCTGTGCTCGGAGGAGGGGCTTGTGGCTTGTGGAGCTTCACTAGCTCCCTGGGTCATTCTGATGCAACTCCTGGTTAAAAGACACGCGGTGCATCCATTGTAAGGTGCTATGTTCAGTTATCTGGGCGAACCACAGGTTACATCACATAGGTGACCACAACATCCATGTACACCAGTGTGTATACGTGTACGTTCCCTAATATGCAATCATGAGAGAGACCAATGTGTAGATCGTGTGTATGTGCATGTATGTACGGGGCTTCTGTTGCAGAAGAGTAAATACCATACACACACACACACACACACACACTCACACAGGATGGCCAGGCACCCTCTGACTCCCACCCTTTGCTTTCCTGCCGTCTCTGGAGCTGATGGGGCCTCTGACCCCGGGATAGCAGTACACCAACCACAGAGACCTTTGGCGCTAATTATTCGCTATTGGTGATCTAGGGTGGGTTTTCACTCCCGAATTCACCAAGAATTGTGTTTCCTGATACCATTGGCTGGAGTTTGCTTTTCAAATGTGCAATTTCTACGAGAATGTCCGATCTTTCTAAGAGTTTAATAAGCGCAACGAAAGCCGAGCTGGAGTTGTGGCCAGTCCTGTCATCTAGTCAGAACTGTTTTCTCACGAGGTTGCATCTGGAAAGTGCAGGAGCTCAGCTGCTGGGAGGAAGTTGTGGGTGCCATGGGCACTTCCTGGGTGCCCCCCCCCCCCCCCCCCCAGGTTAGAGCGCTTGGGAGCTCTAATTTGGCCACACTGTTCTCTTATTCTGGATTAAATTACCCATCTAGCAATATTTAAATTAACCTTGAGGCTTTCCCCGAGAACATAAAAGTTATTTTGAATTATTTTCACTGCCAGGATCAGCACAATTCCCTGCTCAGCTGGCTTGGTAGGAATTCAGCGATAGAGAAACCAATTTTTAAATTAATACAATTTTGTGTTTGTAAGGAAGCCATTATTTTTAATTATCGGGCATTTTCCTCAGCCTGGCTTCCCCAGTTAATAAAACTCAAGCTATTTAGCATGGTTTTTATTTTTGCAGAGGGCAGGCTTAGGGAAGTAGTTTCCCCTGTGGAATTTCCCCGCAGAATGTTTTGATCTCACCAAGCACACGCCTGTCACAAGGAGACTCGTAAAAAACCCAGAGAAAAGGAAATGCTGTCGTCAAAATGGCCCTGCTGGGCCTATAACGGGTGACTCTAACTTAGCTCTAGGGGTAACGTCAGGGGCTGGTGATTTGAGAAACGTGAAGGAGGAAATTACACTAGGCTGGATCCCCTCCAGGAAATGGAATTGTAGCACAGCAGGAGAGATTGCAGTCAGACATACAGAAGAACCTTTTGCCCATTGTGCTTTTAAGAGTATCGAGGGAGGCTGGGAGATTCTCCCACTTGTACAAGGAGAAGCAAGCCGCAGCCTCCAAGATTTAGTTATTCACTCACCCAGGGGAAAAGCCATCCATGACATCTTCATTTCCTTGCTAGGTCAGTCCTCTGGGATTGAAAAGCAGCTCTCCCCAGCTCCCAAACAATAAGATTCAACACTATCCTGGAACCAGCGCTTGTGCAGACAAAACAACTTGCTATAAATTTAATATTAGCTTAAATAATGCATCATTAGAAGGGTAAGCCTCTGCAAACACATTAAATAATGTATTCCTCGAGCAAACATTACTTTTGGATGGCTTGCTGTCTTGGATGGTGGGAAGGGGGGAAGGTGGAAGGGTCTGGATCTGAGTCACAGTTTTGACTCTGATCAGCTTTGTCATTCCAAAGCCACCCCTTCTTCCTTGATGCCTCGGTTTCCTCATCTGCAACAGCCTGAGAGCTCCTGGTGGGTAGGGGCTTTGTCTTGTGTTTCTTAGGGTACCCACTGTTTTGGGGAGTGCTTGGTGCTCCATGAACATCCTTGCAAAGTT